TTATGAGGACACAAAGTATTTGGAATATAGTGATGAGCAAATTTATGATCTAATTGAGGAGTGGTCATCATTTATGTTGAATTGAGGATGTCAAAACTTTGGTACGTAATTGATGAATATTTTGTAAGATTTGAGGCTGGTAGTGTGTTCACCTAGTTTTTCTAACTTAGAGATGTTCATGTAGTTATAAACTACTTTGTTGTATTATGTTGTGTAACTTTTCATTGTATAGCTGGATTGTTTGCAAATTGCTGGATTGATTGTATATAATTTGAATCCATTATGGTAAAAAATTTGGATGTACAATATTTTATAAAATTTATTTTTAAAAAATACCAAATAGGTGGCATTTATTCATGGAAGAAATGTCCCCTATGTATATTTTTTTTTAAAAAAATATCAAATAAGTGGTGTTTATACCAAGAAGAAATGCTACCTATATTAACCATTTCCAAAACAAAATACCAAAGTGGTGGCATTTCTACCTTGTAGAAATGCCACTTCTTTGGACTAAGATAATATAGGTGGCATTTCTGTACCACAAAAACGTCACCTATGTTCTTTTAAATAGGAAAAAAAAAGAAAAATTATAGAGGTGGTGTTTATACATTTTATAAATGCCACTTCTTTTGAATTTTTAATTTTTTAAAAATTTGTCACAAAGGTGGCACTTCTACTATTTGTAAATGTCATCTCTGTAGAGAATAGAGGTGGTTTTTCAACATGGTTTAAATGTCACCTCTCTTTGTTTTTTTTAAATAAAATCAAAGAGGCGGCATTTGCAGAAAGAAATGCCCTTGCTCTTTCATTAGTTCTATGACATTTCAATAATTAATGAAACACCATTTGATACCTATTATAGTATTAAATTTTATAGCATTTTATAAACTCTACAAAATTAAAATTTTAAACGTCACCTATATCCATTTCTGTAGTAGTGATCTCATCATTGTACCCTTCATTCGACAATTTGCTTGTTATAGATATTGGACCCTCTTGACATCAAATTCTAAGAAGAGCTTAGACTATAAATTGTTTTAATTGATATTGACAATTCGTCTGTTACAAGTTTGCTTATTTCATGCAAGTGGATAGTACCCAAACTAATTTTCTAATATAATTATTTTTAGTAAAATATTATATTTTTATGTAGAACATTTTAATAGCAATAATGTCAATTTTTGGATTTTTTGTTAATTAAATTACTTTATTTTGTGAAATCTTAAATATGATGGTGAAGAATAATTAAATTGTGGCATATGCATGTACTTCTTCCCATATATACATTTCAATACTGATGAATTATCTTTACTAGATTTGATAATTTTAGCTTAGCGATAAATGTAAGTTGGGCATCACTTTTGAAATTTTATTTCGGTAATTATAGAATTGATGCCTAAAAATATTCATGTGAGTTTGATTGAAATTTTTATTTTAATGGTGAAGATTTTCTTACATGTTTGAAAATGAATTAGAAAGGGTCTATATTCAAAACATTGGTTGCTAACGACAATTTTATTATCCCTTGGCGTGCCTGTGTTAATAACTAACTAGTTTAATTATCGTGAATTTTGTTCTCACATTTGTTATTCATGGGGCTAACACCTACATTTGTTTTTTGTAGCTTTGAGCTGTGTTTTATTAGTATCACCCTCATAGATTGTGTGTCCACATTTGTTTTATAGCTCAAATTGTGATTGTTTACTTACTCTTGTGGACTGTATGTCCATGTTAGTCTTTGTAGTATAAGTCACATTTGGTTATTTACTTTCATGGATTTATGTCCACATTTGTTAATTGTTCTGAAAAGTTCTCAGACACATGAATTTTGACTAATTGGTGATTTTATATTCCATTGATTTTAATTAGTGATGTTACTATATTTATTTATTCCATTTATTTGTTTTTTAAATCAAGTGATAAGAATATTTGATATGATAATTTAATGGTTCAAAATTTTATTTAAGGTTATATAGAGTCTCTTAATTTTGAATTTTATTAAATATTTCATATAAAAATTGTTGTCTTATTAGTTATAAAATTATTGTAATTTATTCCTTTCATTCTATTTCATCTATTTATTGTTGGGACGTTATTCGTTAGAAGATATTTGTTTGGTCTTAGATGCCTTAGCTGATGCTGATTCTTCTGTAGACTCATAAGGAGCTTTTAGATGTGCTTGGTGGAGAGTTGATTGAAATTCCCTCCTTTTGATGTAATTATAAATATTTATGTATTTTATTTTTGAAAGTATGGTTAGGTGCTCTATGCCTCCACATAGGCCATAGCTAAGGTCCTTTATTTGATATATATTTTATTTATTGGCTAGAAGGAGTTGAGATATAGTTTGATAAGATATTTTGTGTAAAATATTATATTGTAAAATTTTTGAGAAGTTCTATTTATAGAGAAGGTTTTGTAAAATTTTTTTCAAAAATATTGAATTTTTTGTTATAGTGGTTATTATTAAATATATCATAATCTTAGTATAAATTCAATTACATTTTAGAAATGGAAAGATTCCTCAATTTAAGGCTTAGGAATATGTGATATGGTTCACATCTCATGTCAGTCACATTCGATTTTTGGGGCTTGACAATCCATATTTAATCTGAATAGTTTAGATTAAATGTTTTTCATGTTTTATTTTTATTTTATATTTATTGAAATAAAAATATAGAAAAATTATAAAAATTTAATAACTCTGCTCATCAATCTGACATTTTAGATTCATTATGGATGATCTATATTTAATATAAAAATTTAAATTGACTACATTGCAGATATACTCCGAACAATGCAGTCAACTTATTAAAAATATTTAATATTAAATTTGGACTATCCACATCAAATTTGGACCGTCTAAATTGATAAATGGATTTATTAAAATTTTATATATTTTTTATTTTAATAAATATAAAATTAAAATAAAAATAAAAATAAACCTGAACCGTTGTGATTAAATCTTGATAGCCTATATTTTATTTTGCTGCAGCGGAGAGACGGAGGCAGGATTCCAGGAGGAGAGAAACCGAGGCAGTAATGAAATAGAATAGGATCTTATTGATGTTGCCAAGATTCATCAATTTTTGTATGGGAGAGATGTAATTTTCCTTAATATTACATCAATATTTTTCAATGTTCCTTATTTTTCATTCAGGTGAATGGGAAATTGGGAATTGAGTTAAAAGGAATGAACAAGATGATTGTTTTGTAAAGTCAATAACACGTAATCATGTACGAGTATGTTGACGATTTGTTTTAAAAAGAAAAAGAGTAGAAATGGAAGTAAAGAGACATGAAATAAGACAATGTAGCCTAACTCAATGTGTAATTTTCTTCTTTTTTTACTTAAGCAAGAAGAAAACTTTGTTAGGGCCAATTAGAGATCGCAAGCCACACAAAGGGGGCAAAAAGTACAACCATAACTAAGAAAACAACCATAACATTTGCCAAAACAAAAAAAAAAAAAAGAAAAAGAAAACGACCACAACTTCACTAAGAAGGAAATCATTTAGCCAACTGATATGCAATAAAAAGCACACTTTGTTGTAAATTTTATTTAGATAATTTGTAAATTTCATCTCCTTAAACAAAATTAAACTATATAAAATAAATGAAAGTTTTGTTATAAATAAATGGACTTTGAATGTTATTTATGGAGCTTTTATTGTAAATTTTACATGAGTAATTTGTAAATTTTTTCTCTTCCTATAACAATAAACTATGTGAACTATGTGAAATTAACTGATTTTTTGTTATTAATAAATATAATTTGAATGTTATTTATGAAGCTTTTGTTGTAAATATTATTTAGGTGATTTATAAATTTTCTCTCATTCAATAAATGTAAACCATGAGAATTATGTAAAATGAATGAATATTTTATTATTAATAAATAGACTTTGAATGTTATTTATGAATGTTCTATTATATATTTCACAAATAAATAATTCCTTTTTTAATTAAAAAACTTAATTTCAAGAGAGACTTTTAGACCTTTAATGAAAACATGTTGGTTCTCTGGACTTGCATTATAGTAAAGCTGTTTTTGCAAGGGAGAATGACAATTAAGGACCTATTAAGAACATTAATCCCAATTATGGACCATGAAATTTTAAAATCCCAGGTAAGGACCATGGTCTTTAATTGTGATTAAAAAATGTAATTTGTAAGGTGGGATTCATTATTGCCACTTGGGAATTCACTAACCCAACTTGAGAAAATTTGTAAAGTATATTGTGAAAACATGAAACCCCACTTGGAAATTGAATGTTTAACAAAAGCGCCACTTGAAAATTCACTAACTCGACTTGGAAATATTTCTAACGTATATTGTGAAAATATGAAACTTCACTTGAGAATCAATTGTTTAATAAAAAACACCAATTTGGATAAGTCACTTTTTATTAATGATTCTTAAGTGGGGTTTCATTTTTTCACAATATACGTTAGAAATTTTTTCAAGTCAAGTTAGTGAATTCCCAAGTGGCGCTTTTTGTTAAACATTTCATTTTCAAGTGGGGTTTCATGTTTTCACAATATACGTTAGTAATTTTCTCAAGTTGGGTTAGTGAATTCTCAAGTCGCGTTAGTGAATCCCACCTCACAAATTACATTTTTTTTATCACAATTAAGGACCATGGTCCTTAACTCTGATTTCAAAATTTCACGATCCGTAATTAGAATTAATATTCTTAACAGGTCCTTAATTGTTATTCTCCCTTTTTCAAGCCTGCCTTTGCATTTCTTTTTTAAAAAAAATAGTAAAGCTGTCTTTGTTTTTCATTTTATGTTTTTAATTGCTTTCTTCGTACGCACGTGGGGACACTTTCTTTTTGCGTTAATTAATAGAGGGCATAATAGTAATTATTGGCACAACTTTATGACTTTTAAAGTCACGCTACTCGCTGGCCAAAACACAAAAAAAAAGTCACGCTCCTCGATCAGTTTCCCTGACGACTGTGCTTTAGTTTCTCTCGCTGTTCTCTTCGCGCCTCCGTCGCTCGCTCAACTTGCTCTCACTTTCGTGCTCCGGTGACGGTGACGGTGAGGTATATTATCTCTTTTACTCTCACTCACTCATTATCAGCTTCGTCTTTATCTCTTCATATTTGGGCATTCATCAGTCTTTTTCACCGAGAAGAAGAAATGCTTTCTGTGATCTGGGAATTAGTTTCAAATATGAATTGGGGAATTTGTCTTCTAGGCTTAGGATCTTTTTAATTGCATAACAAGTCTCATACTTATCTTCATCACTTCTTGTGATTTATTGTGTGAAGAATGAACAACTTTGTCACGTGGGCCAATTTCTATGCTCTCTGGATTTGTTATCTACTAAGAACTAACGATGAACACCGTAATACTAACTAATATGTATAGATTTTGATCGGACACATAATTACGTTATTGTTATGCGGACACTCTCTCCATTGCTATTTACAAGGCACATTTTAAAAAATCATTTGGTCTTATTTACAAATTATGGTACAGTCTTTTTAAGTAATATTTAAAATGTATTTTTAAAATTATTTTTTATAAAAGAGTTACAATAACATAACATTATTTTTTAAAATTTTTTATAAGGAGATGTTTAAAATTTTATACACTTTTATTTTTTTTATTCTTTTTACATCAATAATGGCGAGGTTGGTAAGAATAAAAAGGTACTTCACATCATGCAATTCTGTTTTTAGTCATTTAGTAATGATATGCCCTATTTGGTAGCATGAAATTGAGATAGAAGAAGTGAAATTAAAAAAATCAAAGTTGTTTGGTGTAATGGATCTCATTTCTTGGGAGAATTGGGTTCCATTAAAATTAAGAGAACTTTCTCATATTCATGGAACCAGGCCACTTCCTTTCTCACTTTCTTCATAAAAAATACCCACTTCTGTGTACGAACCAAATATGCTTTGAAACTTTATTTCCACTTCACTTTCTCTTCCACTTCCACTTGCAATTTGAAAATAGCACTAGCTATTAAAAAAAGTTACCTAGAAAATTTTAGAAAATGACATAAAAAATTATAAAAAAGTATCCTATAAGAAAACTAATATCAATTAAATTCCCAAAATAGTGTGATAATTTATAACTTTTCTTCCAGAATTTACAAATAGTATTTTTTATAAATGAATGCATTTTGTATTCCAGCATTTTTAAAGAAGGATTTATAAATTTTTGTGGAAGAGTTATAAATTACACTATTAATTTTTATAGGGTATTTATGTGTATATTTTTGTCTTCTTCTACAATTTTCAAGATCTTTTTCAACAATTTTTAAGTCAATTAACTAACAATTAAAGCAAACAATTTTAATGGTGGGCTGCCCAGTGCATCATTTTCAAATATTAAAAGGAAAAATTGCATCACATCTAAATTTAATTAGGACACTAAGATCTCCCTAACGAATAGTTGAAGGGCAAAAATTCCCTTTAACCTATGAATTTATTTCTATTTTGTTTAAGTTTCCTCTGCGGATATTTAATCAATAAAATTATTTTATATTTTGAATTTTATCTTTTAATGTATGCTTACATATCTATCTTAATATTCTCATATCTGTTACTTAAGTCTATGCTCTTATTGTCCTTTTAAAACCCAATAAAATTATTTTATGTTTGGGGCTAATTGTCATTCTGATGGTAGATGGAAGAAACTGATTCAAAGATGTGGCCTGAGTTAATAGCTAAAGCTTTGGTAGATGCTATAGCTAAACTTCATGAGTTGAGGGAAGCACTTGCAGCATGGACTGAAGCATCTAAGGCCAAAGCTGAAGCATCTAAAGCAAAAGCTGAGAGATATAAAGGTGAGAGAAGTAAGGAGGCCGCTTCTTCTTCGTCGGATTATTCTCTTGCCAAGTGTGTGATTGCTCTTAATGAGATGAGGAACGTTGATGAAGATAGTTATGTGAAAGCCTTGGAAAAGTTGAAGAACGACCCTGAATGGAGAGAAATTTTCCTTAACATGACACTTTACAGGAAAGAGCAATGGCTATATCGTGTTTACCGCGGAAAGTCATGAGTCTTTATTTTGTTATTGAACTTTACGATTATGTCATCAAATTTGTAAGTAGCTTGTGTTGGAGATCGGATTTATGAGCCTTTATTATGTTATTGAACTCTACGGTTATCTCATTAAACTTGCGAGTTTGTGTTTTCAATATGGAACTTTGTTTATAAACTATACTGTATTTGGATCAATGGAAGTTTAGATTTCACCAAATTCTTTGTGATACTCAAAAATTCATAGATTCATTCATTTTTTATTATAATTCTTTTATAATTTTATATTATTCTTATATTCTAGTCATTTAAAATTTCAATTATTTCAAACATATCATTTTCTTTGTATTTTTCGCTATCGATGTCTTCATCACTCTTACATCTTTTCTCATTTATCATTTTCCTTTTTTATCGATTGACAAATAAAAGGAAGCTTTTCATTTTCATTTTTTTTTTGTTTTCTCTTCAAATTCAACACATCTCTCTTTTACTTTGACAAATTTTTAAACTTCCTGAATAAAATTTTAAATATATAAATTTTAAATATGAGAGTTTAAATTCAAAATTTACTAATTCAAACACTATCTTTAAAATATTTTTAAGTAGCTTAGTGCAGAGTTCGATTTTTGAAGATGTGTATAAAGCAATGATTAAAAAACAGAACCGAACCAGATGGTCAAACCAGTCAAGCTAACAGCTTGGTTGAGGCAAAAAAATTGTTTAGGAAGTTGAGCCAGATTGGACTACTTTGAACCGATGGTCAGATCGAAAACTAGAATCAAGCTGGGAACCGGATTCAGTTTTTAAAAATTGGACTGTTCAAAAAATGCCCTTTGTTTAATTTTTTATTAATTTTTTTTAGAAAATGATCACTTTTTTAATCATTTGATGTTATGTTGTATGATATGATTTGTTAAGTCATAATAAACTTAAAATATTTAATTTTATTTTTAAGTTAAGTAGCAATTTCATATTTATTTTTTATATTTATATTATTATATACATATATAATTTTTTTAATTTAATTATTATGTTACCGGTTTGACATTAGTTTAACTCATTTGGACTATGTAAACCATGAATCGCTAACTTTTTTAGTTCAATATCCGGTCTGATTTTAAAAATATTGATATAAAGAGTATTGCTTGGAAGGGGACAACCCCATAAACAATGCTCAAATTTCTTGAAGGATTAGTTTTATAGTTGCCAGCTATAGGGATAACTTGAGAAATAAAAAAAAGTTACTTAGTTATTTTCTAATTTGTTGAACCAAGGAACATAGAAATATTCATAATCTATTACTTTAAATTTTATATATACTTTTTATAAATATTTTTTTTCATTGGTTTAACTAGTTAAAAAATATATTGATTTTAGTTTTTTTTTTTAATTTCAAAACATATCCTCAAAAACAAATGTGATCAATCAGGCTTTATTATTTTCTTAATTCAAAAACAATTTTGAAATTAACGTTATCAAACGAGCCTTTTTTTTTCAAAAGTAATTTTTTTAAATCATGTTAAAAATAATTCTTAAAAACAAAATGTGAAAACAAAATTAAACCAGGACTAAATTTTTTCGACTTGTATTTCTATTTTATGATTTCCAACTTTTTTTTATAAGATATTTTCCATTAATGCTACATCTTTTACAATTGATATGGACAGCCAAATCTGGCATTTGATAAATATAATGAAGAACCTAACTTTTACATATGACGTGTACGATGAGTTTTTTTTTTTTCCCCCTTTAAAGTATTCCCACCCCATTTAAAGGATTACCCTCTCCTAAGCGATAGATGCTATTCATAATTGATAAATTGAATTTTAGAATGATGCTTAAAGGGCTGTTACACTAACAATTTAAAGATAGATAATTTTTACTAAAAACCCCCAGACCAGAGATAATAATAAAGAGAACTCCTGAATTTCTGAAACTACACACTTCAAGTCTAGAGTATTGAATTGAAATTAAATTTTTTTAGGAAATAACAAGATTGTCCACACCTCTCTGCACTCTGGAGAACGCTCTGAAATCGGTTTCGTTCTCAGCTTCGTTTCTACACCGAAATCAGTTCAAATTTTCAGATTAAATTACATTCCTTGCGACAATTAGTAGTCAAAGCTTTCGAGTTATTTTTTTTAGTCATCCTTTCGGTACTTTTCACTTGCCCTCTTTGTCAGATAATGGGATTTCAGCATTTACTACATGATCCATCAACGGAAGAAAAATGCCGCGAGAGGAGCGTTGTGTTCCCCATAGGCAAAGAGCTCTAATCAAACGATAGTTACCAACTCAGAGCAACATGAAAGAGTGGAGGGATTCAGTTTCTTAATCGAGAAACCCACGTTCTAGTCATTTAAACGCATGTTTTGACAAATTCTTTGGCAAATGTAGCTGAAAGGATGGGGAGGCAAGCAAATCAAACGGCTTGAACAAAGGTCCAAAAGTGTTGGATAGGAAAGCACAGCAAAAGATTAAAATTTTCAACAAAAAAATGGTCCACTTAGTCACCGTCACTGGGATCGTAAGATGCAGGGCACCTTCTCGCGGGATTATTTGAATCGATTAGACTTTCAAAATCTAGAAAACAAAGATGGCAAGGAAAGAACTGGAACTATTCGTGTTTATGTAAAATAAAAATTTACAACATAATCAATTTACAATGTTAATTTTCTGTAAGTATATATGAGGAAGTCATTGGAGGGGAATACTTACTCGTTCATGCCCATTTGCAATTGCATATAACAGGAAAAATGAACTACAAATATTGACAAGTGCAGGTTGGGTTAAAAACAAATCTAGTAGGCAAATGAACAAAATTTAATAGGGAAATGGACTACAATCTATAGGCAAATGAACAACTCATCTAAACATGAAAGTAACACTTAGAATAAAATCAAGTGAAAGTAATGTTATGAATAAGTCTAATAAGCAAATGAACAACATTTAGTTGATAAATGAACAACAATCTGTAGGAAAATGAACAACATGATAACAAGCAATTTAGATTTGGAAAAATGTTGCATGTATATTACTATGCTGAAAAGTACATTATATACATCAAGAAATGAATAACCTAATAATGACTAATAATTACAAAATAATATCAAATAATATCTACTAATAATGGCTAAGATATATATACAATAATGATATAATATTTAGAGAATATTTTAGATAACATGTCCCTTCAAACTCAAGAAGGCTTAACAAAAAGCAACTTGAGTTTGTCTACCAAGAACTGAAAGTGGCCTGAATGAAAAGACTTTGTAAACAAATTAGCCAGCTGATGCTTTGTTCAAATTGGAACAAATTGGATAATGCCTCAAACAACATGCTATTGAGTAAAAGTGTCAATCAATCTCAATGTGTTTGATTCACTCATGAAATATATTATTTTGAGCAATCTTGATTACAGCTTGACTATCACAATAGATGTTTGTAGAAGAACCCTGGACTGTTCCTAGCTCATCAAGTAACCAGTGAAGCCAAAGAAACCTGGAATGCTGTTCATGAATGTTGAGGGAGGGGAAAATGAAATGAAACTAAAATTTATGGACTGAAAACATAATTATGATAAGTGTGGGTCAGAATTTTTGAGTTGAATTAATTTTGTTTGGATTTGTTAATTTTGAAGAATTGGCTAGGATGAGATTTGGATAGGAGAACTTGGACATGAAACTTGGAGGTTGGTGTCTATAAGATGTTTGTTAAAATGTTTGTTAGAGGAAGTGCTTGATTATGTATTTCCTAAAATCTCATTAAATTCTTTGGAAGGCATACTTGGTTTGGATGCTAATATCTTGTGAATTAAGTTTGGCATCCTGTAAAAATTTTGATTATGAAAGTGATATGTAGCTAGTTAAATTCTTTGGAATTATGCGATTGTTGAGAAATTATTGGGCGAAAGATTGAATGTTAAAAATGCATTATTGTTAGAATTGGAAATAATGTATACCTACTGTTTTAATAAAAAGATCAATAGAAGATTGTATTTTAATGAAGTATTGAGCTATGGCTTTTGAGGCATTTTTATGTGTAAAGTCTTGATTTTAAAATTTCAAATTTATTATAGCCAAGTTTTGATAGTGGTAATGTTGGAAGTAAAGTATTGAATTTATTGAAAGCTTATTTAAAGTCTTTATATAATTTTTAGGGTGCTTGGAAAAAGAGAATTGTGATTGAAGTTAACAAGTGAATTTTGAACTCTGAAAATTTTAGGTAAGTGGATAAAGTCTTAACTGATTTTCTAATGAAATTATCTTTATTGAAATATTATATTTTTATATAGAACATTTTAATAACAATAATGTCAATTTTTAGATATTTTGTTAATTAAATTACTTTATTTTGTGAAATTTTATATATGAAAGTGAAGACTAATTAAATTGTTATATGCATTTACTTCTTCTTATGAGATACATTTTCAAGACTGATGAAATTATCTTGACTAAATTTGATAATTTTAGCTTAACAATAAATGTAAGTTTGGGCATTAATTATGAAATTTTGTTTTGATAATTATTGAATTGATGCTTAAAAATATTCATGCGAGTTTGACTGAAATTTTTATTTTATAGTGATGATTTTCTCTTATGTTTAAAAATGGATTAGAAAGAGACTATGTTTAGAATATTAGTTGCTAACAACAGTTCCATTAGCCCTTACATGCCTCAGTTAAATAACTAGTTAGTTTGATCATCGTGAGTTCTATTCTCACATTTGTTATTTATGGGTCTAACACATGCATTTGTTATTCGTCACTTTAGGCTACGTTTGATTAATATTACCTTTATAGATTGTGTGTTCAAGTTTGTTTTATAGCTCAGGCTGTAATTAGTTACTTACCTTATGGGACCGTGTGTCCATGTTTGTTTTTGTGGTATAAGCTACATTTTGTTATTTACTTCCATGGACAGTTAATTGTTTTGATAAGTTCCTAGAAACATGAATTTTGTTACTATATTTATTTATTTATTGTATTTATTTGTTTTTGAAATCAAGTTTTAAGAACAATTGATATGATAATTTAATGGTTCAAAATTTTATTTAAGGTTATATAGAGTCTCTTAATTTTGAAGCTTGTTAAATATTTCATATAAAAATTGTTGTCTTATTAGTTATAAAATTATTGTAATTTATTCCCTTTATTCTATTTCATCTATTTATTGCTGGGACATTATTCACTGAAAAGTATTTGTTTAGTCTCAAATATCTTAACTAACGCTAATCTTCTTGTTGACTCATGACAAGCTTTTAGATGCGTTAGGTGGAGAGTTGATTGAAATTCCCTCATTTTGATGTAATTATAAACACTTATGTATTTTATTTTTAAAAGTATGGTTAGGTGCTCCACATAAGTTATAACAAAGGTTCTTTATTTTAATATATATATATATATATATTCTATCTGTTGGGTGTAGGAACTGAGCTCCTGTTTGATATGATATTTTGTATAAAATAATGAATTATAGAATTTTTGGGAGGTTTTATTTACATGGAAAGTTTTGCTGAAATTTTTGCAAAAATATTGAATATTTTATTATAATTGTTATTACTAAGCATATCATAATCTCAGTATAAATTCAAATACGTTTTAGCAATGGAAAAATTTCTCAATTTAAAACTTAGGAAATGTGTGATATGGTTCATGACCCATACCCGTCATACTATATTTTTGGGGTGCGACAGTTCAGATTTAATTTGACTAGTTTAGATTAAATTTTTTTCATGTTTTATTTTTATTTTATATTTATCAAAATAGAAATAAAAAAAACTATAAAAAAATTTAATAAATCTGCTCATCAATCTAACAACTTAGATTTAATATAAATAATCTAAATTTAATATAAAAATTTAAATTGACTATGTAAATATATTCTGAATAGTATAGATATACTCTAGAAAATGTAATTAACTTATTAAAAATATTTAATATTAAATTTTAACCATCTATATTAAAAATGAACTGTCCAAATTGGTAAGAAAATTTATTAAATTTTTTATATATTTTTATTTTAATAAATATAAAAAAATAAAAAAAACAAACATAAACGGTCCAGATTAAATCTGGATATATAGTCTATATTTTATTTTGCTGCGGTGGAGACGCGGAGGTAGGATTCCGTGGAAGAGAGAAGCCGAGTCCGTAATAAAATAGCATGGGATCATGTTGATATACGTTGCGGAGAATCATCAATTTTTGCATGGGAAAGATGCAATTTTCCTTAATAATACATCAATATTTTTCAATGTTCCTTATTTTTCATTCAAGTGAATGGGACTTGGACTTGGATTAAAAGGAATGAACAAGTTGATTATTTTGTAAAGTCAGTAACACGTAATCATGTGCGAGTATGTTGATGATTTTTTAAAAAAAGAAAAAGGAAAAAAAATGGAAGTAAAGAAGATATATGAAATAAAACAATGTAGCCTAACTCAACGTGTAATTCTTTCTTTTTTAACTTAAGCAAGAAGAAAACTTTATCAGGGCCAGTTAGAGAACACAACCACCGCAGAGGGGAAAAAAGTACAACCACAACTAAGAAAACAACCATAACTTCACTAAGAAGGAAATCATCCAGCCAACTGATATGCAATAAGAAGCACGTTTTGTTGTAAATTTTATTTAAATAATTTGTAAATTTCATCTTCTTCAACAAATATAAACTACATGAACTACATAAAATAAACAGAAGTTTTGTTATAAATAAATAAACTTTGAATATTATTTATGAGGTTTTTTTTGTAAATTTCATTTGGGAAATTTGTAAATTTTTTCTCCTCTTACAACTATAAATTAAATTACGTAAACTATGTGAAATTAACTGATGTTTTGTTATTAATAAATGAAATTTGAATGTTATTTATGAAGCCTTTTTTAATAAATACCATCCAGGTGACTCGTAAATTTTTTCTTATTCAACAAATGTAAACTACTAGGGTAATGTCAAATGAATGAACATTTTGTTATTAATAAATAGGCTTTAAATGTCATTTATGAATGTTCTATTGTGTATGACACAAAAAATTAATTCCTTTTTTCATAAAAAAGAAAAAAAAACTGAATTCCAAGAGAGACTTTTAGACCTTTAATGAAAATATTAGTTTCCTTGTATAAAGATTCTTGTAGCAGCAATATAGCAATGCTGTTTTTGTAATCATCTCAGGCTTTTTCAATCCTGTCTTTGTATTAAAAATAAATAAATAGTAAAGCTGTTTTTGTTTTTCATTTTATGTTTTTAATTGCTTTTTTGTAACGCACTTCGGGACACTCACTCTTCTTGCTTTATTTAATGGAGGGCATAATAGTAATTATCGGCACAACTTTATGACTTTTTTAGTCACGCTCCTCGATCAGTTTCTCTGACGGCGGTGTTCTAGTTTCTCTCGCGGTTCTCTTCGCGCCTCCGTCGCTCGTTCGTGCTCCGGTGACGGTGAGGTAGATTATCTCTTTTACTCTCATCTCACTCATTCTCAGCTTCGTCTTCATCTGTTCCTATCTGGGCATTCATCTGTCCTTTTCACCGAAGACAAGAAATGCTTTCTGTGATCTCGGAATTAGTTTCAAGTATGAATTGGGAAATTTGAATCGTGTGCGATCGTTAACATTGGTGTGTGTTGGGCTTGCTGTGATCATGGTTTCTCCTCTCGGCTTAGGATCGTTTTAATTGTATAACGAGTCACATACTTATCTTCAACACTCGCGAACTTCATCACTTCTGGTGGTTTCTTTTTTTCTTTTTTTAAGGAATGAACTTTATCACGTGGGCCAATTTCTATGCTCTCTGGATTTGTTATCTGCTAAGCACTAACAATGAACACCGTGATGCTAATAAGTATAGAGTTTGATTGGACTCAAAATTAAGTTGTTGTTACCTCCGGTGCCATAAGTTACATTCTAGAAGATTAGCTGACCTATTTATAAGCCATGATAAATATTTGAAATGAATTTTTAAAATTACTTTTTACAAGAAAAGAAATAACAGAACATCACTTTTTAAATGTTTATAGGAACATGTTTGAAATTTTTTATATTTTTATTCTTTTTATTTTTTTTTTGCATTGAAATTGGTGAGATTGGTAATAATAACTTATGAAAGGAACTGGAGGGAGTACTTCACATCATGCAATTCTAAATTAGTCATTTAGTAATCTTATGCCCTATTTGGTAGCATGAGATAGGGATTGGAGAAGTGGAATTGAAAAATCAAGTTGCTTGGTATAGTGGATTTCATTTTTTGGGAGAACTGCGTTCCATCAAAATTGAGGAACTAACTTCCACATATTCATGGAACCCAGGTCACTTCTTTTCTCACTTTCTTCATAAAAAATACCCACTTCCATGTACGAAACCAAACATGCTTTAAAACTTTATTTTAAATTTACTTTTTCTTCCACTTCTACTTGCAATTTGAAAATAGTGCTAGCTGTTAAAAAAGTTACATGGAAAATTATAGAAAATGCCGTAAAAAATTATAGAAAAAGTACCCTATAAAAAAATTAATATCAATTAAGTCTCAAAAATAGTGTGATAATTTTACAAATAGTTTTATTTATAAAGGAACATATTTTGTACTCTAGCTATAAATTTTTAAAGAAGGATTTATAAATTTTGGTGGAAGACTTATCAACTACATTATTAATTTTTTATAGGATATTTATGTGTTTTTTTTCTTTTTCTTTAATTTTTGAGGTTTTGTTTAGCAATTTTTTAAATCAATTAACAATCAAAATTAACTTTTCTAACGGTAAGGTACCTGGTGTGCCATTTTCAAATGTTGAAATGGAAAATCATACCACATCTAAATTTAGGACACAAAATGCTCCCTAACGAATAGTTGAAGGGCAAAAATGCTCTTTAACCCATGAATTTATTTCTATTTTGTTTAGTTGCCTTTGTAGGTATTTAGTCAATAAAATTTTTTTGTATTTTAGATTTCATCTTTTAGTATATGCCTGCACATCTCTGTCAACATTTTTATATTTGTTACTCCAATTGTATGATCATGTTGTCCCTTTAAAACCCAATAAAATTATTTTGTGTTTGGGGTTAATTAATAGCTAATTAGTTGTCATTCTGATGGTAGATGGAAGAAACAGATTCAAAGATGAGGCCTGAGTTAATAGCTAAAGCTTTGGTAGACACTATAGCTAAAAGTCATGAGTTGAGGGAAGCGGTTGCAGCAAGGACTGAAGCATCCAAGGCAAAAGCTGAAGCATATAAGGCAATAGCTGAGAGATATAACGGTAAGAGAAGTGACAAGGCCACTTCTTCTTCGCCGGATTATTCTCTTGCCAAGTGTGTGATTGCTCTTGATGACATGATTTTCCTTAAGGGAGATTATTATATGGAAGGCTTGAAAATCTTGAAGAACGACCCTGAATGGAGAGAAATTTTTCTTACCATGGAAGAGGGCAAGAAAAAAAATTGGCTACATCGTGCTTATCATGGAGAGTTGAGTCTTTAATTTATTATTGAACTTCACGATTATGTCATTAAACTTGTGAGTTTGTGTTGGAGATGGGATTTATGAGCTTTTATTATGTTATTGAACTCTATGGTTATGTCATTAAATTTACGAGTTTGTGTTTTTATTCTAATATGGAACTTTATTTAGAAATAATATTGTGTTTGGATCAATGGGAATTTGGATTTTACCAAATTCCTCATGTTAATACTCAAAAATTTATAGATTCATTTATTTCTTATTATAATTCTTTTTATAATTTCAAGTTATTCTCGTATTCTAGTTATTTGAAATTTCAATCATTTCAAGCATATTGTTTTTGTGTTTTCCACTATCAATATCTTTAGCACTCTTGCATCTTTTCTTATTTATCGTTTTCCTTTTTCATCAATTGAAAAACAAAAGGAAGCTTGTCACTTTAAATTTTTTGTTTTCACATCAAATTCAACGCACCTCTCTTTTACTTTGAAAAATTTTTAAACTTCCCAAATAGGATTTTAAATATATGAATTTTAAATTTGAGATTTTAAATCTAAAATTTAATACACTATCTTGTAAAATATTTCTAAGTTGATTAGTGCTACTACAAAAAAAAAAAAACATGACTTTCAGCGGCGATTCTAAAAAGTCGCTGCTAAAAATGAATAATTTGTAGCGACAATAAAAGTCACCGTTGAAAGTTTGACTTTCTGCGGCAACTTCCATGTTAGACTTTCAACAGTGACAAATGCATACCATTGCTGAAGGTCTAAGTTTCAGCAGTGACATATAAATTGCCGTTGAAAGTTGACAATCAAAAAGTCATCACTGATTGTCAACATATTTTATAATATGTTATAATTTCATAAAACTTATGTTATAATAAATATGTTTAAGTTTTTGCAGGGACATATTAGTCACCACTAAAAGTTGACAATTAGTGACGATTTTTTAAAGTTACTGTAGAAAGTAAAACTTTTAGCAGCGACATTCAGAGTCACCATTGAAAGTTTAATTTTGTATTTTCATCATAATTTTTATTTTTAATTAATTTAATATTTAACTTTTTAAGGCATTAATTTTGTTGTATTATTGTAATTTTATAATGAATATATAAAATAACATAATGAGTTTTCATTTAATATATTTTATGGTTAAATTGTAACTTTAAAATAATGAAATTATTTTAAGATAATGTTAAGGTATTATTTAATACTGATAATCCTGAGCAAAGGATTAAACCAAATGATATTATTTTACATCAATTTTTGTTATCAAGTAATGTTTGATTTGATTCAATCCAATATTTAGGCCAGTTTGATTAATTAGTTTTGGTCAATTAACACCAAATCTAACTGAATTGACTAATGCATACCTCTATGTGAAGTGATAAATTTATTCAAAAATATAATGTTTGACTTTTTTTAATTTGGGATGCATATAATGTGGTAATGAGTCTCTATTTTCAAATGTTTTATGATTAAATTGATATTTTAATCAATAACACTACTAGTTTATAATAATTAGACATGTGATAGTTAAATTTACTCATTTATAGAATGATATTTCATCTAATCTAATTTTTAAATTCAAATTCTACATTTAATACTAGTAACTTTAGAGTTTGATGCCAGTTTAGATGTTCCCAGTTTGATGGTTAATGATAGAAAAAAGAAAGATGAAAAGAAGAAAAATGAGATATTTTAAAATTTCACTTTTAACTTTTATAGTATATGAAATATACATATGTATTTGATGCTATATGATTTTTTTTGTTTGATGCTATCTTGTGACATAAATATAAGAAAATTAGATAATATAGTGTATAATTTTCTTATAAAATTATAATTTAAAAATGAAAACTAATTAAAAAAGTAAAGTGTAATGTAAAAAAAGCCAGTTACATTACTTAAGAGTTATTGTTAATGAAAAGTAAAAATAAAATTTTAAATAAAACTAGCTAGAAAAATATATAATTATGAACTAATATATAAGAATCTATATTTTTACTATTTATTCTTAGATATTTTTTATATCATCATTATAAATATGAATATTAAAATAAATAATAAAATAACCTCAAGAAGTAAAAAAAATAAAATAAATAATACAAATGATATTATATCAACTATATTTATAGTTTACTTTAGACAAAATAAATAATATAATTTACAATTTTAATAAATTAAAGGAATTAAATTGAAGTATTTAATGATAGTAATGATATTTTATAATATTTAATATTTTATATATGTGTGTGTTTGTATAGTTTAATTATATATATATATATATATAATTATGTAATAATAGACTGCAGGTTCATTCCAACTCAATAGTAAAATGGTGAGACACAAAAGGAGGAGGTCAGGGGTTCAAACCTTGGAGGAGGCAACTTGTAAAATGAAAATATAAATTGATGACATAATAACACGTGGTGTGAGGTAGGAGCGACACATGGAGGGTGACATGGCACCAAGTGGCTTGAGGTGGGGCGACCCGTGGGGGTGACGTGGTGATAGATGGAGGAGTGTGTATAGAGAGTATTGCTTAGAAGAGGATAACCCCTTAAATGGTGCTCAAATTTCTTAAGGAATTAGTCTCATAGTTTCCAAATGTGGGGATACCTTGAGAAATTTTAAAAAGTTACTTAGTTATTTTTTTCATTTGTTGAACCAAGCAACATGGAAATATTCATAATCTATTACTTTAAATTTTATATATAACTTTTTATAGATTTTTTTCCTTGGTTTAACTAATTAAAAAATATATTAATTTTAGTTTTTTCTAATTTAAAACATATCCTCAAAAACAAATGTGATCCAACAGGCTTTATTATTTTCATAATTCAAATACAATTTTGAAATTAAAGTTATCAAACGAGCCTTTTTTCTTTTCAAAAGTAGTTCTTTAAAATCATTTTACAAAATAATTTTTTAAAACAAAAGGTGAAAAAAAAATAAAACTAGGCCTAAATTTTTTCAACTTGTATTCCTATTTTATGATTTACAACATTTCTTTCATGATTTCCAACTTTTTTTTATGAAATATTTCCAACTAATGCTACAACTTTTACAACTGATATGGACAGCCAGATCTGGCATTCGATAAATATAATGAGGATCCTAACTTTTACGTATGATGTGTGCAATGAGTTTTTTTTTTTGGGTTTTCCAAGGTATTTCCATAATTGTTTGCCATAATGAGATTAATCCTTCAAAAAATTTTAGTATTATTTAAAGGATTGTTCTCTCTCAAGTGATGCTCTTCATATTCTATAAATGAAACTTTAAAATGATACTTAAGTGATTGTCACACTAACAATTTAAAGATTGTAAATGAAAGATAAAAAGTTGAAAAGAGTTGTTTATTGAAGGATAGCGTCAATACAACTTTACAGGATGGTGCTCATCCTAGAAATCATAAAGAGTTGTTTGTTGAAAATGTCTTTTCTATTAAGTCCTTAATTTTTTTCTCATCACATAATTTCAATTGAAAACATATTTTAAAAACTGTTGAAATATATTTTCTTACGTTTTAAAATCTTATAGCCTCAAATGCATGTATTTATATTAGGCTTTAGGTGGAATTATCATTTTCTGGTGGTCATATCTTCAAAAGGTAACTATCCTTTTAGACTATTCCACAATTATAGTGGATCTTTCACCATTTGATATTCAGCTTTTAGCCCCTTATGAAGATGATAGTGAGGGAAGATCATTGTCTTGGCCTTATGTTGACTAATTGTCTTTGGCATCTAAGTGAATTTTTTTCCATAATATTAATGGCTGTAAATTCAAGTTTAATAAGATTTGTCATGATTCAAACAAAAATAGTAATAACAATTAGAATTATGACAACATTAATAAAATAAAGCATAATAAATAAACAAATAGTATAGTAAAAAAATAATTATTCACATATGCAATAAAAAAAATAACCATAAACAAATCATAAAATATAATTCATAATGAAGCACAGTATAAAGAAACGTAAATATAAAGAAACAATTTTACTAAATAAATAAAGCACAACAAAGATAACGAAAGGTAATAAAGCAAATAAACTAATTGATAAAGCAAATCATTCATATGATATTAACAAATAAAACAAATTATATTAACAACATAAATTGATCAATAAATACACACACATAAACAAGCATAAAGTCGCGCGCGCACGCGCACACATTTTTAATTTAATGGAGGGCTACAAAAATATAAAGATGATATCAAATACATAAACAAAAGGAAGGAAAAATAAGTATATCAATCTTCATAAAAATATAAAACAACAAATAATAAAAAAATAAAGCAATGAATGATTGATGAGACTATATTAAATTAATTCACTAATCACATGATCATTTTCAAATGAACAACATGGAGAAATGTAAAAGACTTTGTGACTAAGAAGGGGAAAGGAGAAGAAAATAAAACAATAAAATATAATGTAGCAACTACAAATATAAATAACATAACTGAGAATGTTGATAGAGCAATAACAAAAAAATAGAATTATATGTAATATAAAAACACATTAATCTATAAGGTTATATCTTATTTTTAGTGCTAATTCATGATGATAACATGTTATAAAATATAACTAATATGAAGAATAGAGAAGAACAAGGCAAGACAAGAAATGGGGAAGAAAACGATGGAGGAAATTTTCTTATTCTTTTAGGTACATGTGCTTTGGATATAGCTTCTATTTATAAGCATCTAACTATTAAAGTCTTATTTTAGTGTTACAAAGAAATAAAGAGGTATATAATGGTATATTATGTAGACTTTGAAACTATAAAAAAAACTCCTTCTAAGCTATTCATTAGGATATTAAAGATAAAAAAAATTCTAAAAGGTATCCGTTATGCATATCCACAATATAGTACATATAATATACAATATATATATATATATATATAATAGGTTGTGAGTTATCACCATCAAATCGCCAACTCGTGAGGTAAAAATGAATTAGTAAGAAGAAAAACAAATGAAAAGGGAAAATAACAACCAAAGACCCTGTAAGGAATATAATTACAAAAAAGGACCACAAGGTCTTTAAATAGCAATGAAGATTTTTGGTCCTAAAGTGTAAAAATTGAAGTGTTTATTGACAATTACTCGCCTCATTGCCTATTGCAAGGCAGATTCAACAACTTCACTGGAACTAAGAAGTTGTAGTTAAATTATTAATTTTGTCTGAAAATATAATAAATTTTTAATTTTACCCCTATTTAAATGAAAATTTTTTAATTTTGTATTGCATTCTCTCTCATTGTTAATGAATTTAAATATGAATAATATTAAAAAAATATAATTAATACCCCATAGCGTACCTTATATCCTTAAAAATACCATTGTAAGTTCTGAATTCTAAGTTTCTAAAACATAAATATCCACTCCTTAAAACTTCATCTCTCTATCCCTTGCCCAACCCTAGCCTCTCCTCTCCACTTTCTAACTTTCAATATCCATGGTCTCAAAACCCATGCTCTCCCTCCCTCATCTTTTATTAGATTAACGTACAAATTTTCCTCTAATATTTTTCATTCAGATGCATTTGGTATATTAAAATATTTTTTGGCGCAATGTCATGCCTGCGTTTTTAAAATTGGTACAATATCATTCCAGCGTTTTTAAAGTTGGTGTCCATGCATGCTAGGATATTTTTGACTTTTTCCACATATGCATTCTTCCTCCTCGTCTTTCCTCATCTTCGCTTTGCCATCGATTTCTCATGCCCAGACTACCACACTCGATTCATCATCATCTTCATAGTCACTGGGCTCAACAATTCTCTATTTGTTTCTTCCTCACTATCAAACCCAAGTTCGAGATTCAACATCTCACTGTCATATCCTTCATTTGACAATTTGCTTGTTATAGATATTTGATTGTCTTGACGTCAGATTCTAAGAAGAGCTCATACTGTAAATTATTTTAATTGATATCGAACGATTTGCCAGTTATAGATATGCTTATTGCTCCTTGAGTAGTGAGTAATAAAATAGGATAGGATCTTTGCTGATGTACGTTACCGAGTCATCAATTTTTGTATGGGAAAGATGCAATTTTCTTTGATATTACATCAATAATTTCCTATGTTCCTTATTTTTCATTCAAGTGAATGGCACAAGGGTTAAAATAAATGAACAAGATGACTATTTTGTAAAGCCAGTAACACGTAATCATGTACGAGTATGTTGATGATTTAAAAAAAACAAAGAAAAAGAAAAACGGAAGTAAAGAAGAGATATGAAATAAAATAATGTAACCTGACTCAACATGTAATTTTTTCTTTTTCTACTTTTAAGCAAGAAGAAAGCTTTATTAGGGCCAATTAGAAAACTCAAACATCATAGAGGCGGAAAAAAGTACAACCACAACTAAAAAGACAACCATAACTTCGTCAAGAAGGAAATCATCCAGCCACCACTGATATGCAATAAGAAGAACTTTTTATTGTAAATTTTATTTAGATAATTTGTAAATTTATTTTCCTTCAACAAATATAAACTACATGAATTATGCGAAATAAACAGAAGTTTTGTTATAACGAAATAGATTTTGAATGCTATTTACAGAGTTTTTGTTGTAAATTTCATCTTAATAATTTGTAAGATTCTTCTTCTTCAACAACTATAAACCATATGAAATATGTGAAATTAACTAACATTTTGCTTTTAATAACTGGAATTTGAATGTTATTTATGGAATTTTTGTTGTAAATACCATTTAGGTGACTTGAACATTTATGTGAAGTGAATGTATGATTTGTTAGTAATAAATGCGCTTTAAAAGTCATTTATGGATATTCTATTGTGTATTAACAATTCGATATTTTTATCAAAAAACTTAATTCCAAAAGAGACTTTTAGGCTTATAGAATTATATTAAATTTTATTGGACCTTTAATAAAAATGTGTTGATTATATTCCATGGGCTTGCAATGAGATTCTTCTGGCAATATATATTAGAGCTGTTTTTGTTTTTTTTTTTAATTGCCTTTTTATTATGCACTTGAGGGGACACACTCCTTTTGCTTTGATAAAGGGATGGCATAATAGTAATTATTGGCACAACTTCATGACTTTTAAAGTCATGCTCCTCGATCGGTTTCTCTGACGACTGACGATTGTGTTTTAGTTTCTCTCGCGGTTCTCTTAATGCCGCCGTCGACCTCGTCGCTCGCTCAACTTGCTCTCACTTTCTTGCTCCAGCGACGGTGAGGTATATTATCCCTTTTACTCTCTCACTCATTCTTAGCTTCGTCTTCATCCCTTCACATCTGGCATTCGTCTGTCCTTTTCACCGAAAAGAAGAAATGCTTTCTGTTATCTGGGAATTAGTTTCAAATATGAATTGGGGAATTTGAATCTGTGCAATCGTTAAGATTGGTGTGAATTGGGCTTGCTATGATTATGGTTTCTCCTCTAGGCTTAGGATCGTTTTAATTGTATAACGAGTCTCATACTTATCTTCAGTACTCTTAAACTTCATCACTTCTGGCGGTTTATTTTGAGGAATGAACACCGTAATACTGATATGTATAGAGTTTGATTGGACTCATATTTAAGTTATTGTTACGTTGATACTCTCTCGGGTTTCATTTATATGGCACATTTAAAAGGTCATGTGGTCTTTTCTGTAAGTTATGGTACAACTTTTTAAATAATATTTAAAAAATATTTTAAAAATTACACAGGAAAAAATAATATGACATTTTTTTAATATTTTATAGAATTATATTTGGAATTTTCACACTTCTATTCCTTTTATTTTTTTTATATTGATATTGGTGATGTTGGTAGGATTGATTTATAAAAAGGACCAAAGAGAATACTTCACATCATGCAATAATGTTTTTAGTCATTTAAAAAATGAAAAATCAGGTTGTTCGGTACAGCGAATCTAATTTTTTTGGGAGAATTGGATTCTATCAAAATTGGTGAAACTACCACATATTCATGCAACCCATTTCTTTCCTCACTTTCTTTATAAAAATACCTAGTTTTATATACATACCGAATATGTTTTAAAATTCCATTTCCACCTCACTTCTTCCACTTCCGCTTACCATTTGAAAATAGTGCTAGCTATTAAAAAAAGTTACCTAACAAGTTATTGAAAATAACCTAAAAAATTTGCAGAAAAATATCTTATAAAAAATTAATATCAATTAAGTCTCTAAAACAGTGCGATAATTTATAACTCTTCCTCCAACATTTACAAATAGTATTATTTATAAATGAATGCATGGTACTCTAACTATAAATTTTTAAAGAAGGATTTATAAATTTTGATGGAAGACTATTAAATTACACATATTAATTTTTTATAGGGTATTTATGTGTATTTTTTATCATTTTCTATAATTTTTAAGGCTTTTCTACTATTTTTAAGTCAACTAATGTTTGAAGTTAATTTTTGTAATAGTAGAGTGCCCAGTACACCATGTTCAAATGTTGAAGGAGCAATTACACCATATCTAAATTTGGAGTGATAGACACTCTCCCTAACCATTGAAGGACAAAAATGCTCTTTAACCCATGAATTTATTTTTATTTTGTTTGCATTGCCTCTGTGGGTATTTAATCAATAATTATTTTGGATTTTGGATTTTATCTTTTAGTGTACGTTTGCACATATCCTTCAATATTTCATATCTGCAACTTCAACTTTATACTCCAATTGTCCCTTTAAAGTCCAAAAAAATGATTTTTATTCAGGGCTAATTGTCATTCTGGTGGTAGATGGAAGAAACTGATTCAAAGATGTGGCCTGAGTTAATAGCTAAAGCTTTCATAGATGTTGTGACTAAAACTCCAATGAGTGAAGCACTTGCAACATGGGCTGAAGCATCTAAGGCAAAAGCTGAAGCATACAAGGCAAAAGCTGAGAGATATAAAGGTGAGAGAAGTAACGAGGAGGCCACTTCTTCTTCCTCCGATTATTCTCTTGCCAAGTGTGTGATTGCTCTTGATGAGATTGGGTACGTTCATGAAGATCGTTATATGAAAGCCTTGGAAACCTTGAAGGACGACACTGAATGGAGAGAAATTTTTCTCAGCTTGACACCTTCCAGGAAACAACAATGGCTATATCGTGTTAGTTGTGGAAAGTTGGCTCCTAATATATTAGATAAAATTCTATATGCATAAGTTTTTATTTTGTTATTAAACTTTATGATTATGTCATTAACCTTGTGAGTTTGTGCTGGTTATCTGATTTATGAGCCTTTATTATGTTCTTGAACTCTATGGTTATATCATTAAACTCACGAGTTTGTGTTTTTATTCTACTATGGAACTTTGTTTATAAACAATGTTGTATTTGGATAAATGGAAATTTGGATTTTACCAAATTGCTCATGTTGATAATAAAAAAATTCGTAGAATCATAAATTTCTTTCTAATTTCAAATTATTCTCATATTCTAGTCATTTAAAATTTAAGTCATTTCAATTATCTAATTTTCTGTGTTTTTTACTACTCTTGCATCTTTTCTCATCTATCACTCTCCTCTTTCATCAACTGAAAAATAAAAAGAAGCTTGTCACTTTTACTTTTTTTTTATGCTTTTGCTTTAAATTCAACGCATCTCTTTTTTCCTTTGTAAATTTTTTAAACTTTTCAAACAGAATTTTAAATATATAAATTTTAAATATGAGAGTTCAAATCTAAAATTCACCAATTCAAAAACTATTTTATAAAATATTTCTAAGTTGAGGTATATTATCTCTTTCTCTCTCATCTCACTCATTCTCAGCTTCGTCTTCATCTCTTCATATCTGGGCATTCATCTGTCATTTAATTGTATAACGAGTCATATACTTATCTTCGGTACTCTCCAACATCATCACTTCGATCTGGTGGTTTATTTTGTGGAATGAACTTTATCACGCGGGCCAATTTCTGTGCTCTCTGGATTTGTTATCTACTAAGCACTAACAATGAACACCGTCATACTAATATACTGATGTGTACGGAGTTTGATTGGACTCGTAATTAAGTTATTGTTATGTTGACACTCCTCCGGTTTCATTTACAGGGCATATTCTAAAAAGTCATTTGGTCCTATTTATAAATAATGGTGTGGCTTTTTAAGTAATATTTGAAATGTATTTTTAAAATTATCTTTCATGAAAGAGATAAAATAATATAACATTACTTTTTAAATTTTTTATAGGGACATGTTTGAAATTTTATACACTTTTATTCTTTTCATTTTTTGCATTGATATTGGTGAAGTTAGTAAGAATGATGTATAAAAGGAACCGGAAGGAGTACTTCACATCATGTAATTCTGTTTTTAGTCATTTAGTAATCTTATGCCCTATTTGGTAGCATGAAATTGGGTTGGAGAAGTCATTTCTTGGGAGAATTGGGTTCAGGGAACTAACTTCCACATATTCATGAAACCCAGGTCACTTCTTTTCTCACTTTCTTCATAAAAAATACCCACTTTCATGTGCAAACCAAATATGCTTTAAAACATTATTTCCACTTAACTTTCTCTTTCACTTCCACTTGCAATTTGAAAATAATGCTACCTATTAAAACAAGTTGCATAGAAAATTATAAAAAATGACATAAAAATTATAGAAAAAAATATTCTGTAAGAAAATTATTATTTTAATCGATATCAACGATTTGTCTGCCATATGTATACATATATATATGCTTATTGCTACATTGCCCAGAATCATCAATTTTTGTATGCGAAAGATTCAATTTTCTTCAATATTACATCAATATTTTTTTATGTTCTTTATTTTTGATTCAAGTGAATGGGCCTTGGCCGGTTAAAAAGAAATGAACAAAATGCTCATATTGTAAAGTCAGCAACACGTAATCATGTACGAGGATGTTGATGCTTTAAACAAAAAGGAAAAGGAAAAGGGACAACGGAAGTAAAGGAGATATGAAATAAAATAGTGTAGCCTAACTCAAATTATAATTTTTTTTTTTTTGCTTTACTTAAGCAAGAAGAAAAATTTATTAGGCCAATTAGAGAAAGCAACCAACACAGAGGCGGAACAAAGTACAACCACAACTAAAAAGACAACCATAAGATTAAGAAGAAAATCATCCAGGCAACTGATATGCAATAAGAGGCGCATTCTGTTGTAAATTTTATCTAGATAATTTGTAAATTTTATCTTTTTTAACAAATGTAAACTATATGGATTATATGAAATAAATGAAAGTTTTGTTATAAATAAATGGAATTTGAATATTATTTACAAAGTTTTTATTGTAAATTTCATCTAGGTAACTTATAAATTTCTTCTCCTTCAATAAATATAAACCACGTGATTATGCAAAATTAACCAACATTTTATTATCAATAAATTAAATTTGAATGTTATTTATTGAGTTTTTATTGTAAACATCATTTAGGTGACTTGTAAATTTCCTCTTCTTCAACAAGCGTAAACCACATGGACTATGAAATAGACGTTTTGCTGTTAGTGAATAGATTTTGAATGTCATTTATGAATGTCGTCTTCTTTCTCCTCTTAGCTTCAAGAGAGGGAGACGGAGCTCGCTTCCTCTTGTCTGGAATATCTCCTCGATCGAGGCGACTAGAGGAGCTCTTCTTGGCCCTAGACTTTTTAGAGACCGGGGGAACAGAAATTTAGGAATAAGCGTCATCTTGCTCCATCTCCTGGACCACGATCCTCATGGAAGGGGCTGTCGGGGTCTTGGAAGCGGCGGGGGCGTCAATTTTGCCCTTTAAAAAGGTCACCAGCGCGTGGAATTGTGTCCAATCACGACCTACACAAAACAAGGCAAGTTAAGTCTAAGGAAACAAAATGAAAAGGGCAAACATAAGATAGATGTGGAGGAAATATTTACTGGTGTGGCTCTTTATTATGCGCATAAAGCGCTGGGGCCACCATTTATTAAAGTGGAGGTAGGCATCTCTATCTACAAGTTCCACTTTGCATTGCCTCTGGGTGGTAAGTGGAACAGCTATCTGATCGATAGCCTCTCTATCCAGCAGCTCCATGCTAATTTGGGGGGACAAGCCCTGAGAGATGCACTGGCTCAGTCTAAACTGGCCCGCCACCAGTTGAGGGTAATAAGACTCTAAGTATACTCTTAGAGACTTGGAGGAGGAGCTAGTGTACGGCAGCCACATCTTCTGGGGAGTGGTGGCTGGAAGGAAGACCTCGTCTCTTAGAAGGTTGGCGGGCTTGTTTTTCTTTTCCACCATATACTTGTACCAGGTGGGAAGGTGGCAATCAAGGATGTTGAAAGCTTTTAAGGTCCTCACCAAGGACTAACTTTATTAATAGAAGAAGTTGAAGAAGTTCTTCGACTCCACTAGTGGATAGCCACCCAAAAGACAAGTGAAGGGGAGGTTGGCACGGGAATCATCAGGAAAGGGCTCTCGCCGAAGGTTGGGGAAGTAGGCTGTCGTCCACAACTTTAAAAACTAGATGGCCCTACTGAAGTTGCTGAAGGGCTTCTTGATCAGCAACTCCCTCATGTCGTCATAGAGACGGCATAGAAACATAGTTCCCAAGGCTAATTGATTGCCACAAAGCAGGGACTGGGTGATCCTGAGCTGCAGCTGCACTGGTTTCCCTCCCCCTGAGGCTAGGATCTATTAACTAGGTAAGATCCGGATGAAGACTAGGTGCTCCGTGGTGATGACGGGCTCGAAGGCTAGTTTCTCGAAGAACAGCTCCATAATTTTTGAATAAGAGCCCACGGCCCTGATCTTGCTCTCCAAGTTGGCAGGAAGGGTGGTATAGAAGTTGTGCTTCTCGAGGATAGCATAGAAGTTCTCTTCCTTGGTGATGGGTAGCCTTAGGAACATGAAGATGTCCCACAGCGTGAGGGACATTAGGCTGAGCTTAAAGATGAAAGCATTACAGTCTAGAGCCTAGAAACTGAGGTGGGCCGTCAGAAGGTCCACGGGGACGTCAACATTGGCTAGAGATAGTTGAATTAGGTCATATAGACCCATCTCCTTCCACTAGGGCACATAATCTGACTCCAAATACTTCACCTAGTTGACCCAAGCACGAGGGGACTGGGGCCAGTTCCTAAGCTTTCTGCAAGACGACTCAAGGAAGGGCGAGGTCGTCCGAGCTAAGACTAAATTGCGAAGAGAGGTCAGTTGCCATGGATTCAGCTACATAAGGGCATTGATGTCAGATAGGTCAAGAGAAATTGTTAAGTACCTGACGTCACTTTTATTGGAGATTTAGAAACTCCAAGGTAAAGTGCTGGACAAAAAGGAAGCTCAGTTAGAGCACTTTTCAATAAAATAAGGGCTAGACACAAGAAGCGAGAAACTTACCAGAAGGCTACTGATTCGTGGAATGACGAACCCTCCTGAAAAAGAAATGAATGAGAATTAGGATAGGAAACTAGGCTAATGAAAAAAAAGGTTTTTTTTTTCAAACCATGAAATACATACCGTTATGAGCCTACCTAATTGGTTCACCGAGTTATGGATAGTTGCCAGAGAATCTGATAAACTACCCGAGGAAGTAGAGGAAGGGGCGATGACAAAAGAAGCAGATTAAGCCATTTGGGAATTAGGGTAGGAAAAATTTTGGCAGACTGAAGACTTGAAGTTCAAGAAATGGCAAAGAAAGCAAGAGAAGTGATTAGAATCTGGAAACTAGTTTATATCGGTAGAGGGTGCTAAGAAATGAAGCGACGTTTTGATTTTTTCAAACGTGCCACGTGGCTTATGTTACCAGCTATTAGCACGTGGGGGGCATTGTTTGGGCTAAATATGAAATGTCACCTAAATAGGTCACGAGGCTAGTTGGGTTGAGTATTCAAAACGTCAAGCCCAATATAAACAAAAGAGGCCGGCCTCGAAGCTTAATAGAGTCCACAACAAATAAACATGCCGAAATCCCATCAGCTTCAAATATTAAACCATTGGCACGAAGACACGATCCTAAGTGATGCCGAAATCCACACCCAAGTAGTTTGGTGAAACGGGCTATTGATCAAAATGGAGAGACCTTGCCATAAGTTTCACGAGATTCTTGATTCTTTGATATAACATGCTAAGTCCTAAAGAAAAGGCTTTTGCTATCAGATACTATAAATAGAAAGAAGAAAAAAACAGAGAAGACAGTCAACACTCAATCAAGACTTGCATAATTTACATTTATTAGCCTTTTTCAGTTCTTAATTTTTAGTCTGTAATTTTCAAATACTTCAATAAAACTACACACTTGTTCTACCAAAGCCTACTATCTTTTTACATCTGAGCGAACTATGGTAAGGGAACTCAGGATCCTTTCGTTATCTATTGAGACCCAGC